ACAGAAGGAAGACACACACAGACAGACAGAAGGAAGACACACACAGACAGAAGGAAGACACACACAGACACAGACAGAAGGAAGACACACACAGACAGACAAAAGGAAGACACACACAGACAGAAGGAAGACACACACACAGACAGAAGGAAGACACACACAGACAGAAGGAAGACACACACAGACAGAAGGAAGACACACACAGACAGAAGGAAGACACACATAGACACAGACAGAAGGAAGACACAGAGACACAGACAGAAAGAAGACACACACAGACAGAAGGAAGACACACACAGACACAGACAGAAGGGAGACACAGAGACACAGACAGAAGGAAGACACACACAGACAGAAGGAAGACACACACAGACACAGACAGAAGGAAGACAACGTAACATTGGTGTCAGGACGCGGTGGAATCAGCCGCTCGTCAGTGTGGGACCATGTCAGGATGATTGGTATCATCTTAAAGCCTGTTCATTTGACTTCCTTTTGGTGGAAAAAAATACCCATCTATGTTGAACAGAAGTAGAAATATTTGCGATTGAAGGAAGTCAGGGTCGCCTGGTTTCAGAGGTATAATTAGCGAGAAAATGGCCACCAAAGATTGCCAACTCCCACACGGTAGCCTCAGAGTCCTTGGAAACTTGTAAGCTGGATTGTTTGTGCTTTTCATCAATGTTTTTCAGTAAAGTCCACACAAAAAATGTTTTTCAATAAACAGAAAAGGTGATGCGCCAAAAAAAAAAACCCTAGAAAAATACCAAAAAATTGCACACGGGCAATTTAAAAAAGCAGATTTCTTAGATTTCATCATTTTGAGGAGCGCCTGATTTCAGCCGGATGCCTCACAAACACACAGACAGACACAGACACCGAGACACACACAAACAAACAACAAAATTACACAAACTAAGTGCTACATCAGAAAGATAGACAACATTAAATAGCACAGAAAGAAACCAAAAAAACAACACACACACACACACACATATATATATATATATATATATAAATAAATATATATATATACCACGGATATACCACGGTGTAATTCTGAGAAGGCATAAGTGGGTCACCCACAGCCCACCAGTTGCTCCAAACAAGCCTTGTGGAGATAGAACAAATGACTTCCCTTCCCTCCCATGTTCCTTATTTTACCGTGAGATAAAAAAAACACCAATTTCTATTGGTCAAAACTTTGTGTTCTTCAAGTTTGGTGATCAAAATCCCCCTTGACGATGAAAAGTGAAACAAACAGAAATCCCACGGATCCCACATTTACACGTTCAGAAAATTACACCAAGGACATTTATCAGAGCCAAACAAGGCAACACCAAATGGCTACATTCACTTATAAGTCCGTTCACAAAGCACAGCGTCTGTCTAACAGCAGATGATAAAAAGCATCTGTACAGCGCACAATAATATGGTCGCTTTTAAGCACAAAGAGGCTATCCTGAAAAATGTTGTTTTGAGAAAAAGGAAGAAGTTTTTGCCCCTTGTTCAGTTTCTTTAAAAGACAAGGAGAGTTTTCTCTATAACCAAACAAATATACACACCAATGAAACCAAACTTCTCCTATAGGTCGGGCAATGCCCACTTTTGGTGTAGGTCAAGGTTTCTGGAAACCCCCGAAATCTGGGTTAGCCCGCTTGTCCTTAAAAGAGACCATATATATATAAATAAAATTCCCAAAGAGCGAGCCCAACTCACCAGGCTCAGGCGTCATGGGTTTGGTTTTGGCCATCATAGACTTGGGTCGTGGCCGACTGCCGCTGCTGTTCCTCTTGTCCTTGCGGTGCTTCACGGGCGGTGTGGGGTTCGGTTCCTCATCGTCCTGTTGTTTACGCTGGAGGTACTGCTGGAAGATAGCCTCACGCCGCGTTCTCTCCTCCACCTTCTTCTTCTCCGCCTCCTCCTCTTTCATCCTGCCCACAGAGACGTTCAGCTT